GAGAAAAGTACGACAACTTGATTTGCAGTTTGTTGTACCTGAAAGACCTGCAGCTGCTCCAGAGTGACCTCCTGACTCTGACCGTGTTCTCTGGGCAGATGGATGGCCTTCAGCACGAGTCCCGAGTCTGAAGAAACAAATACGTTTAATTTACTTGAAGTTGGATCATGAAAAAGAGCTTGAGGTTAAAATACCAATCACACGACCTGTACAAACTCAAAGAAGGTGCACAGTGCACACAATCTACCTGTGCCGATGAACAGGACATCGTAGGTGCCATCCACGGCCTCCACTCTGTCCACCAGCAGTTTGCTGAACTTGTAGTGAGCTCCCACTCTGACCAGGAGGGGGCGCTCTCCTAGCGGTAGCACGTTCTCCTGAATTATAATTAGAAAATGCATCACATTAAACTTGCTCAGCCAATCACGTTGTTAATCACTCAGACGCCCTGTTGTTAATTTCTTAATTTCACTTAAGATTTTGGAGAGAAAAAACACTCGACCTGCTGCAGCATAGCACGCAAGCTAATTTAATTTAATTTGCTGTAATTTAATGATGTGAAATATGAGCCGAACCTGCAGTAGTGGATGAGTCCTGCTGAAGAAAATGACGTCGTCGGGATATTCTCTGGTCGAGCTGTAGCTTCCATATGTGCTGCTGGGACACTGAGAGAGAAATGCAGATATAAAAAGGGAAAATGTGTTGAAATCGCACATTACTATATAAGAAACAAGGCAGAATTCTCCCAATTTTACCAACTTTTGTGTTATTTTTGGGTGGTTAAGTGACTTATTTGCATTCATTTAACTGCAAATGGTCACCTCAATCTTTTTAGAGGGTATTTACTCATTTAAAATGTAAAAACCTTGACTTACGGAGAGAGTTTCTACTAACAACTTACCGTTCCTGGTCGTGGATAGGGCACCTTCCCTGTGAACTCGGCCCATTTGTACTGAGGCCCCTCTTTGTGCAGGAAGTTTCCTTTAAAAGCTCGAACAACGTCCTCCATTCGATAGACGCACACGGCCGAACCGTTGAGGATATCACTGGGGATAAACAGCACGGGAACAAGGAGGGCATTGTCAGATCAATCTTTCCACCCGTTACTCCGCCGTCGAGCAGAACACAAGCTGAGCGCGCCTTCATCATCTGTGATGAGTGGCAGCGGTCTCTGAGCAGTAAATTAAATAAGAAAATGTCATGTATGAAGAGCTGTGACTCATTGCGGCTTTTCAGCTTGAACGCATCAATTCGCTGAATGAGCTCCAGCTCCGAGTTGGATGAATGTGCTTCTTTCAGCGCATCACTCAGTCACGGCTTTTGAGATTTTATATTAACTTATTCGGTCACTTAATCAGTTGAGCTATTCTTCGCATCACTGCTTCCACCCACCAGAGGCCTCCTGCCTGCCACACCCACCTCACCTGCTCCCAGTTCCCCCAATCAGCCCTTTTCAAAACCACTTAGCTGATGAGTCCAGCAGTATACAGACTTCCAGGTTTCCACCACTCCTTTGCCAGCTTTTCTGTGTTGTGTTGTGCTTTCCAGTTTTTTTCCCTCCAGCTTTTGGGTTCCCTGGTTTATTTTAATACGTGTCTTTACCTTGGACTCTGCCTTCGCCTGAAGGGCTGCGCTACAAAGTCAGATTACTGGGTCAGTGGGCTGTGTTGAGCCTAAAGCTGGAGTCCTCAATGTCATGAAGGTGGCTCTCTCTAACCTGGCTAGATCACCATGGCAACAGATGCTGTCCAGCTAACCCGCACCGGAGGAGGTTCTGCTCAGACGAGATTCTCCGCTGAGGGAACATGTTTCACCTGCAGACTGGCTGAACTGTACATAAGTGATGCCAGCTAGTGAAGCCGTGCAGCTACAGCAGTGCAAACTGTATGCATCGTGTTGCCATGGTAACCTACATGCGTGATGCAGAAAATGCACAAATATGTTGTTAATGCTTGGTGCTGATTTGGTGCCATTACATTTCTGGTACTGCTGCCAATAGAAAACAAATTAGAGAACTGATTAGTCTGTTGGTATTCATCTAAAAAATATATTCAATCAATAACATTAATTTGACTTTGATTTGACCATAAACTAAAGAGACTTTCATGTCTTCTTCATTGTGGGACAGCGTCAGAGCTAAATCCACTGAGCATCATGTTTAAATGTATGAAGTTTATGAGCTCTGTTGTGCATCTGTTGTGTTAGAAATAAGCAGCTGCACTGAGAATATATTAACTAACACAATTAACAGTTTTTTTTCCCTCTCTTAAATCATTTCTAGCAGCAGTTCCTTTTCGCAGACTAAACTTGTTTTTATATTCTTCATAGCTCTCTATTAGGAGAACCTAAAGTTTGTGTGGAAGAAAAGTCAATCGATGCACCAAACGCCTCCTTTAACCGGATGAAGAAAACCTGGTTGACGAAGCTAAAAGCCGCTGTCAGGAAGTGATCTGTGTTTGGGGTTTTCTCAAGCCAGCTAATGCAAAGTAAGCCCGGCTATATTGAACTTCGTAGCACATCTCTCGGCTGTTTTTCCTGCATTTTGCAACCTGCCAACCCTCATCTGGGTCCCCTCTGAATCGAATTGCATCTCGGTCCCCACCACATCCCATCCCATCCACTGCAGTTAAGATAATGAGTTCTGGGAGATTTTTAGCACAGCATGTCTAAGTTGAAGATTGCAGCAATTTGTGCAACCAGATAGCTGGGTGGTTAGAGAGCATACATGTCACATGGGCACAAACGCCTTAAATCAGTGAGTCTCTGGTTTGATTTCTGGCTTTCTCCCCGCTGTGCTTCCCCACATTTCCTGTCTCTCCTCACTGTCACTGTTTAACAAGAGTGAAAAATGCCAAAGAGTAACCTTAAAAAACAAGAAAGCCCGTGTTATTATGAGCTAGGGTGGTTTCCTTCAGTTTATGTGGGTGACGCATATGTTTGCGCTGATGTTCTCGTGCAGGGAGGGAGGCCCTGAAAGGTCAGAGGTCCCACAGGGGAAGCCAGACGCTGTGTTGACGTCAAATCATTTAAGATTATCATGACAACAAGCGACGAATTAAAACAGGGCGTTCATGTCAAGCCCTCGAGTTGTATTTACAAGATATCAAGAGTTCTGAATCACTGGAGAAATGTCTACACAACAGGATTGTTATATTCAGTGGAAAAAGTATTACAAATACAATCGATGGGGCTGATTTAAAAGGAACTATGAAGATTTTGTTTGTATCATTCTGTTGTGAAGAGTTTTGTAAAGTGTGAAATATTTTAAGAATCATCACAGATGTACAAAGAAACCTGCAAGTTACAGTAACATGATTAAAACTGCATTAAATGAAATGACCACCACCCAAACTTTGAGTATTTACAGACCCTCTTGCAGATGTTTGCACACACCATTAAAACGAACAATTTATAGCTTTTACAAGACTCAAATTTGACATAAACGTGACTAAAATATGCTACATTCTGTCACATCTGCATCTAAAAAGAAAGAAAAAGTTGGTGTCACTGTTCCTTAAACCTGACTCTACATTCCTCGACCACATTAAGAGAAAGTTGATGACCTGAAGCGACAGAATGGACGTGAGGAAAACTGGATCACTTATCACCAGCATTGGCCTCACTTTGGTGGCTTGTGTTTGTTTCAGGACTGACTTTAAGATTTTATTGTTTGCTTTTAAGGTTTTAAATGGGTTGGCACTTTATTATTTAGCAGAACTCTTTACAGTTTCATTAGAGCACTGAAGTCGACCATCCAGATGCTCTTAGATGTTCCAATATCCAGACACAAAAACAGAGGCGATCGAGCCTTTGCAGTCGCTGTATTTAATCTGTGGAACCGTTTGCCTTTTCATGTGCTGCTGTTTAGAAACCTTTAAGCCACTGCTGAAGACCCATCTGTTCTCTTTTCTATTCCATCCAGGTAGAGCTTGACCCCCTGACTTCATATTTTGTGTTGCATCTTTTATTTTTCTTCATTTTATTGTGCTTTTATTCAGATTCGTCTTTGTAATCAGTGTGTTTAAGTCTTCTGACTGCTATTCATAGTTGTACAGCACTTTGGCGTAACTCCTGTTGTTCTAAATGTGCTTTATAAATAAAACTACGTGAAATATAGACTTGAATAGACTGAGGATGGATCAAGCATTAGAAAGATGCTTTTCCAGGTGTATTGCTGGACTCACGTGTAGCTGGGTGACAACTACGGCCAAATGCAGGAGACGAGGTTGTATTTCCACATCTGTATCTGTTCATATTAAATGTGTATCTGTGGTCAATGTGACAACAACTCTAGCAGTGGAAGTAACTCAGAAATGAATAAACACTGGGTTCTCTAAACCAGCAACGTGCCAACCATCTAATCTAATCTGCTGTTGCATGAGATGAACCGACGATTACATTAAGAAAATTTAAATTTGAATGGAAAACAAAATAATGAAGGCAAAGAGCAGATGACAGATCCGCGGTTTACACGCTCGACTTCATCTGCAGACAAAAACCTGCGTGTGTGTGTGCAGTCATGATTGTACCACAGAGACAAGTTTCCATTCAGAAGGAATGACCTTCTCTGCACTCTGCAGTTCTGTGGTTTCGGACCCCACCCTGGGTGATGCTTTGGATTTCTGTCCGTTCCCCGCTGAGATTCCAGACACTTTCCAAAAACCCGAAGAAACAGACCAACTCCCTGCTCCGCCGGGCCAAATGCTGTCATACTTGTGCTGCTACTGTGGAGCTCTGGCGTCCAGCTCAGAAACTGTTTTATTCTCAGAACATGTGGTGCTTTTAGTAACTTGGAGAAAATGAGAAAAGGCAGGCATTCTGAGTTGGCGTCGTTCATTTTTTTTTTCCTCTGGCTTTTTTCTCACTTTTTCCTCTGCTTTTTGCAGACGTTGCCTGTTTTCCTGTCTGTATATTGTAGTTATTCACCTGACATCTGGGTCAGTCTTCGTGAGAGCCTGTCCCATTGAGTATTAACATTTTATTTCTATTTGACTTTAGCGGTTTGCCTTCTCTCGTATTGTTTGGTGCTTGTCACTGCAGAAAAAACTTTTTTATTATTCCTCTTTGTTATAACTGCCTCACACGTGAGCAAGTTAACTTCTCCTAGGTACTGACAGAAACCATACTTGTCATAACCCGCAAATTTAGTGCTGCTTTATATTAACTTCCCTATAAAATATTAATACCTTTTGTTGTTCTTGTTTAACCTCTGGAATATAAGTCAGTGTTATTTTTGTATTCTATCCTACTGCAAGTCAACTTCAGTCTGGTATCTGTGTTTGTTTGGGTGTGAAAAATAAAACATGTGTCACACGCAGGGGTGTCACACTCTGATGATGATGATGATGATGATGATGGAGCCTCACATGAGCTCCACCATGTTGTCAGCATGAATGACTGTGCTTCATTCATGAGTCGCGGTGACAGAAGACGCTGCAGGGTGTGTGTATATATCACAGTGTGTGACATCAACATCTGTGCACCGCACATTACAGCGTGACATGAAGCATTCGCGTCGTGTCACTGACGCTCTCTTGACTCACTGTGGTCATGTATAAACATCACAGCGGACGAGGCAGAAGCTGAGCTGCTCAGTGTTCGAAGATGAAATGAGACAAGAAGTTACTGAGTGTTTGAGTTTTATAACATTTACTTATATAAAACTCAAAAAGATGCTTTTGCATTTATAGATCACTTAGAATTGTTGAAAAATACATGTAGTAGTCATTTTATGGTCCTCAATTATTTCTGCTTAAAGCTTTCATCCTTCTGGAATAGATTTTTGAACTGAAATCTGACCAGTGGTGGAAATCCTCACTTATTTTTTTACTTACTTCACTTTCTTTTTGAATTTGAATGCTGATTTTGATTTTGAATTTTGAATGCTGTTGTTGTTGCTGATTTTATGTTGGTGTTGTGTTGTTTTTTTCTGGTGTAGCAATTTCCGTGAGGTTTTGTACCGAAGGTTTCAATAAAGTTTTATTCTAATTATGAAAGTTTTCATTAAATTCCCTCCACTGTTATCTGTGGTTTAATTTACAGTAGTGCTGCTCGATATTACTAAATCCTAAAGTAGTTCCTTTTACTGTTTTTAGTTTTTACTGCAGTATATAGTATAGTATAGTATAGTATAGAAAAAGTACAACCATGACTAAAAGTAAGGAGAACCTTAAATGTCTTTTAGCATAGCAAAGCTACAGTGCCATAAATTTAAAAAAAATAAAATTCTCAATTTATTATATACTAATTGAAAAAGACTTGGATGTCCAACATTCTTCCAAGAGCCCACAGGCGTTACCACTATTGGAAAATAAAATAAAAAGCTGTAAATACTGCAGACTATGAAGCTTTTAAATGTGTTTTCAAACTCACTCTGTGTAAACACTGCCTGCAATTCAGTCCAACACAAGAGCTCTGAATTTTAGTCACTTTAACTGTTGGTCACAGCTGAGTCTCTAATCACTTCCCAGTCGCACTGAGGTGCACAAAACATTACATTTTTTTTTACAGAATCTGGGAGAGAAATGGCTTATTTTTTGTGAGTTTTTCAAGAAATTTTTAAAACAAACAAGTCTCGATTTTAAGCTCATATCTGGTAATTTTTTCTAAAGGAACAGCTCATGTCAGTTGTTGAAAATCCAATAACTCCTACTACTGGCTGTGATAAATGGTTTATTTAGGCTCTGAACACCTCGCAAAAGACAAACAATGACAAAACCTTAAGTCAGCACCATCCTGACGTTTTCAATAAACAAAGGCACATAGTTTACAAAGCACTACTTTAAGGTTCTCACTCCCATGATTTCTGCTTTACAGAGGCACATACCTTGAAGTGGTAAACAGGCCGTAGATGAGAGGGTTCTTCTTGTCTTTCCCATGAAGGATGAAGATGTCCTCTAGATAGAGAACATCCAGACAGCACGAGGAAGGATGGGAGCGATCAGAGATATGACAGAGAGGGGAAGGGGGGGTAAAAAAAAAAAAAGAAAAATATTAGTCTTCCAGAGAAAAAATGACAACAGCGTCTGAATTACTGGACAAGTTTTACATGAGTGTTGCTCTGGTAAACTCCACGTGTCTGTATATACAGTTGTGAACAGAAGTTTACATGCACTTGTGAAGATGATGTATTTCACGGCAGTCTTGAGTTTCCAATGACTCCTATAACTCAGACATTTCTGTGATGGACTCATTGAATGTCTTCGTCACAACGAAAACATAGAAAGCTGTGTTAATCAAATTTTCCCAGTTGCACGGCCTCTTAACTTCTTGCGAGTGATTAAGATTGAATACAGCTGCTTAGTCCTTTGACTGAATCTAAATAGAGAACATTTGAAGCACCTGCTAGACTCAGCCACAAACACTACGGTGGAAAAGTCTTTGGAGCACAGTACAGTTATGAAAAAGCAAAATGTTGACTTGTATTATGCTCTGGGGCCGTTTTGGTGGAACCGGTGCTTTGAAGAAGGAGGATTACCTCCACATTCTTCAGGAAAACCTAAAATCATCAACCAGAAGGTTGGATCCTGGAGACAGTTGGGTGTTTCAATGAGACATCAAATACAACCCAAAACATACATCAAAAGTGGTGAAGACATTTTTAAATCAGGCTAGAGTTAAGGTTTTAGACTGGCCTCCCCAAAGTCCTGAGCTAAACCCAATCAAGAACCTGTGGACTGTGATGAAGGAACAAGTCGTTATCAGAAAGACAACAAATTTAGTTGAACTGCACCGATACTGTCAAGAAGCGTCAAAGATATAAGCAGAAACTTGTGGACAGAAACCAAAAGTGCCTATTTTTTCACCTAAACTAGGCACTTTTGGTTTCCGTCCACAAGCTTCTAGTCGTATCTTTGATCACTCTTCTTGACAGTATTGACAGCAACGACATTTAACCAAATATTAGCTCTGCTGTATGCACATTTTTGACCCATATTTCCAGATGACCTACAATAAATCTGTGAAAGAACCAAACTACACAATTGTTTTCTGTGACAGAGACATATTTGTTTTAATGATTCCATCAGAGAAAATTCAGAGTTATAAGAGTCACTCAAGTCTTTGCCAATGTATGTAAACTTTTGCTCACGACATGCATGTGAGCAATGTTCATGAGTCTAGAACTGCCAGTGTGTTTGTGCTCGGTGCTTTGTATTCATTATGTCGATGCCTGCGTGTGTGTATCTGAGTGTGTGCATCTATCAGTCTGACTGTGTGACTAATAGTGTCGGGCGTGCTGGCAGCATGGCTGACTGGCTGCTTGCAAAGAATCTGTAGCCATTAATAACCAGCCACAGTGGGAGAGCTGAGCAGTGAGTCCGCCGCAGGAGAACAACACCTGCTGTCACACAAGCTAACACCACGCCTCAGTCTTCGCTCTTCATTTCAAACACAGCGGATCGCAGCATTTGATAGGGTTTTCTCACTCCGCCGTTGTTCCGACTGCAATCCCTCACGCAGCGCAATCAGGTGGGAGTGTGGGTTTCTTTTTTCTCTTTTCATCTGTCTGTCTTGATAACTCAGTCGCAAATAGCACAAATCTGACTACACCAGGTGAAATGAGTTCTTTTTTTTTAAATGTTGTTCTAGCGTTTGAACTTTGAATTTGAAAAACATAAACCCGGACTGCAGGTCAGAATTAATCAACAGTGGTAAACATCTATTTCCTATTAAAATATGCCTCGCAAAGGTACGTTTGAAGGAAGCCTGCAGAGTTTCTGTAGCTTTGATGAGCATATACCCATTTTGCATTTATCTTGTCATTTCTCAGCTTCAGTGCAGGTCCATCGTAATAAAAAACAGGTTGCAATGAATTCTGATAGTCTCAAATGAAGTGGGAAAGTTGTGTGAAACAATATAATTAACATTTGGAGAAAAAGTAATAGTTCTCTCCTTGGTTAATTGCTGTCATTTTTGAAATCCCAAATTAAAGTCGAGATGAAGCATGTTGTCATTTTGATTGATAATAATATTACTGAACAGACTGGCAGTGAAACAAACACATAAATGACAAGTTAGGAGACCAAAGAACACAACAGTCCTTTGAGAAACTAACAAAAGTAGGACCTTAGGCCAGATGGAACTAAAAAAAAAGTCTCCTTCTTTGGGTGTAAACCACCAGAGACCAGACCATTTTGCATGTTTTTGAAATGCGAAAAAGTAGAATGGCGAATGCATGTCTGTAAATATTTATGTTTGTCTCTCCTTAACCCTCACTGAAATACTTGGACATTTAATATCTCAACCCTGGGGTGTTACTGGTGGATATAAGGGGACATTTTTTCTTTCAGAGTTTCTTTCAAGTTTCAGATTTAGGCTGAAAATCAAAGTCAAAGCAGTTACCATACATGTTTCCTCACCCACCAAAAGAAAAATAATAATAATGTTGACAAATTATTGTAAAAAATCACATATAATAATGATGGAACATTTATTTCCAAATCACCAGTCAGACTTACGCAACTTATGACACTTGTGTCAAAATATCACTCTGGCTGACTCGTGATTGGTCAGAGGCCACAGTGACTTCTCTGATTGGCTGGATAAAGTCACATGACTCTGCCCTCTGCCATTTGTAAACCCTGCGGAAGTTACCATATATGGTTCCTTACCTGAGGGTTACATGATTATATTTTTGAACAGAGGTTTGTCTTTAAAAAGAGTTTCCAATCTAAATGAGACAACCTGTTTAACTAAGAGACTGAATATTTTACTGTACATTTCCCTGCTGTCTTGTCTCTCTCCACTGTTATGGTCAAATAAAAAGAAATGTATGGAATTAAACTCAGCTGACGCTTTGACACACATGTGATAACTAACTTTGTTAACAAGAGCCCCACAAGATATGCTAAAAGTGTGAGATTCCTGATTAAGAGACAAGAAACGAGCCCACAAATCTAATCATTCCTAATAAATTTCACTCCTATAGCGTTTAACATTCACCAGATCTCAGTCCAATTGAACATCTATGTGAGATTTTGGTGTTGGACAGCGCTGCCATCATCAAAACATTGATTATATCCCTTCAGTAGGATTCTTACTAAGAAACTTTGTGCTGGTTTTTCCTTTAATTTGTCACCTGTCTATATAGTCGCATCACAAAATGTCTGTGACCTCTCAGACATCACTGGTTCATCTTCAGGAGCTGATATATTGTGTATAAAAACAGATTAAAAAAATATATTGTTTATGACAGTTGTGAATATTTCTAGTGTTCTCGTGCTCGTGGTTGTATAATTCAGTCGCCTGCTGTCACAGCTCAGCCTAGACCTCAGTCTTCCCAGTTTATTTAAATCACAAAAAAAAAATCAAAGGCTTTTCTGTTTTGCACTTCTGTCTCGGATAAGAGCCGGAAACGTTTTATCAACCCGTCACAACGGTCGAGAACGCAGCTCTTTGTTTTTCTCGTTGGCGTGCTGTGATAATCTATAAATACATGACTCGACTCCTGCTCCTCGGGTAAGTTCGGCTTTAAAAGTTTCAGAAACTCCGCAAAACGGAAGAGGACTCGGGTTGACGTCGAGACACAAACGGTTTGCAGCGATGGAGGTGAGGAATGGATGTTTAAAAAGTCTCCTCTCTCGTTTCCCTTCGCCGAGGCACGGGAGGTTGTTGTGGTGATGGAGACGGCGAGGCGTATCGCTGCTCCCACATTCCTGCCGTTCCTGCTGCTTCAGGTGGCCTCCGTGGAACTGCAGGAACGCTAATCTCATCTCATCACAGCTACACACACACGCTGAACAAACATGAACGCGCCCACACACTCATACGTCGCCTATAGACACACACGTATAACCAGCGGGACCCTCAGGGCAGAGCACAGAGGACTATGGGTAGTCCACAGCCTGCAGCGTACACACTGCTCCCTCCCTCAATCCCACAATATATCACTCCTTCATTATTTAGCTCCCTTCACTGCTCCTTCACTGCTCCTCCTGCTTTCAAATTACAATGCAATTACAATTCTCTTTCTGTTCTTTACACACTTCCCCTCGTCTTTTTCCCATCGTTTCTAGCTTGTTCTCCTTTCATTTATCAAAACCATTATCATCTCCCTGTTTTTTTTTCCCTGTCTCTCCTCTTCTACTTGTCTTAAAGGTTTCTTTTATGGCAGTTGTTCTTTATTGCTCTGGATGATGTATACGCTGTGCGTTCCGTGCTTTTATCCAAAGTTTTTTCAACGTAAAGGATGAGCCAGCGTCAGAAGAAAGGCGTCGGAAGATTTATATCTAAACCTGCAGAGTTTTATGGCCATGCAGGCAGCCTGCGTGGAACCCATTTGAGCACACATGATGGACAGCTTCAGTTTGAATCTGGTGGGAACCAGCCATGTTTAAGGGGCGATAAGACTGTGATCATATAGGGGAAACAACTAATGCAATCTGTTTGTAAGCGCATGCAGAACGAGTGTTTGATCTCCGGCCATCCAGAGGTGGACAGAACCGTATTTGGCCATGTATATGACCAAATGTTGAGGATGTTTGCCTGCAGGACACATGTTTGAGCTGTGGAATGGTAAATAAGCCTTCGTGTGCAGAGGTGGAGATCAAGGGAAAAGGCCAGACAGATATTTGTGGTATGCATTACTGTAATAAAAAAAAAACCCAGAAAGCCTTTCAGAAGTCCATTTGATACAAGTAATATGTCATGTTTGGTTAAAAAGCAGAAGTATATTGAGTTAAATGCTAACATTAGCATGTTGGCATGCTGTAAATGTCTACCAAGTCTAGCATGCTAACATCTGCTAATTAACACTTGAAGAGCAGCAACTTCGTTTTGCAAGTAAAACATTAAAGGCCGCGATGAAAAGAGGCAAAGGTATAAAAATGTGAGAACACTGTATAGACAGAGGAAACCTGCCACAACTACAGGAGGTTCAGGGGCGTGCATTTTAAAA